CCCCCGGACCGGTGGCCAGGACTCGGGCACTGTGAGTGCCACTGAAAATCGGCTTACGTGCTGCCTTTGGCGTGTGTGCCATAAGTTGCCTACCCCTGCACTACACTACAGCTTTGCCCCTGGTGGATATAAAGTAAGGGAGGATTATTGTGCTTGTGGTTAGGTACAGAGCCAGGTACCAAGAGCTCTGGGTTCTATTTCTTGCCCTGCCATAGGAGTTCTCTCTGACTGTGGACAAATTACTTCAATTTCTCCGGGCCTCGGTTTCCCCACCTGCAAAGCGTCTGCCTGTGTTTCCAAGTGACACCACTATTTCAATGCCTGGAGAGGGTCAGTAACTCAAACTCCAGCTGCAGAATTCCTCTGCTTCCATGTGTCAGTTTTGGCACTGCAAAGGCTCCTCAGTGCAGCTCCCTGATGTGCTGGGAGGAACTCTTATTCACTAAGAGCCTTGGCACCTGCAAAGACTCTCCCGGCTCTGAGCTTAGGTGCACAGGGAGGCAAAGGAGCTGAGGCCTACTCGGTACACCATTGAGGCGCTGACAATTTAGTGCCCACGTTTCTCTCGTTGATTCCCTTTGCACCTGTGGCAGCAAGGCCTCCCTAAGGTGCTGACCTGCAGTGCAGTGGTGTAAACACCTCACTGATGCCCAGCATGCAGCGAAGTAGCACCTCAACAATGCATGGGCCCTGTTACATTACATCAGTGCTTGGAAGCCTGCCAGCTGCGTTCCATCAAGTAGTCATCTGACACTGATCTATCAGCATGAACTGGGATTCTGAGGTATTGAGTGATTATCCTTCTAGGGCGGCCAAGTGGTGGGAAGTTTGAAGAGCATCTGTATACGATGTTGTGACGGGTTGGATCACAGAAACCCCCTTGGGAGCTGCCACCCGATGCACCAAGACTACCCCTGCTCCTGTTTTCCCTGCCAGCTCAGGACTCCAGCACCCTGTCTTGCTGAGCCAGACACTCCCGTCTGCTCCAACACACACCCAGGGTCTGAATCACTTGCCCCAAAGCTGCAAGTTTACCTGAAAACAGCTCACAGAAGTGTGCTTGTCTTTAGCACTCAGATGCCCAACTCCCAATGGGGTCTAAACCCAACTAAATCCGTTTTACCCTGCATAAAGCTTATGCAGGGCAAACTCATAAATTGTTCGCCCTCTATAACACTGATAGAGAGATATACACAGTTGTTTGCTCCCCCAGGTATTAATACATACTCTGAGTAAATTACTAAATAAAAAGTGATTTTATTAAATACAGAAAATAGGATTTAAGTGGTTCCAAGCAGTAACAGACACAACAAAGTAAGTCACCAAGCAAAATAAAATAAAATGTGCAAATCTATGTCTAATCAAACTAAATACAGATAATCTCACCCTCAGAGATGCTTCAGTAAGTTTTTCTCAGACTGGACACCTTCTAGGCCTGGGCACAATTCTTTCCCCTGGTACAGCTCTTGTTCCAGCTCAGGTGATAGCTAGGGGATTCTTCATGATGGCTCCTCTCTCCCTCTGTTCTCTTCCACCCCTTTCTATATCTTTTGCATAAGGCGGGAACCCTTTGTCCCTCTGGGTTTCCACCCCCCCCCCCCACTGGAAAATCACCAGGTTAAAGATGGATTCCAGTTCAGGTGACATGATCACATGTCACTGCAAGACTTCATTACCCACTTGCCAGCACACACACATACAGGAAGACTCACAGGTAAACACAGCCATCTGCAGACAATGGTCGTGGTTAATGGGAGTCATCAAGATTCCAAACCACCATTAATGGCCCACACTTTACATAATTACAATAGGCCCTCAGAGTTATATTTCATATTTCTAGTTTTAGATGCAAGAGTGGTACATTTATACAAATAGGATGATCACACTCAGTAGATTATAAGCTTTGTAATGATACCTTACAAGAGACCTTTTGCATGAAGCATATTCCAGTTACATTATATTCACTTACGTTTTTATAAAACCAGATAGATTGCACAACGTCACAGATGTATCTATTTACACTAGTTCCAGGATGTGCACCGTAAGGCCCAAGGCATCTAGATGTTTTTTCCAAATCCATTTTACAAAAAACCTTGAAGCTCTGTTGCAGACTTGTCCTGCTGCTGCTAGTCACATTTTACTGGGGCTTTTTGGTTCCTGCAGCCATCAGGTAGGGGGACTGTATCTATAGAGTTCTGAGAGGCTAGAATTGCAAACTTTCATAAAAACTGGCAACGGGCTCCCTGAAGTGAGTAGCTGGCCAGAAATGCCACAAGGAACTTGGACAGGTGGTTTAATGTGAGGCTGTGTTGGAAGCTGACTTGCTAATCTGCTGATTATTGCAGAATTGATTTCCTGAAAAAGAGGGTGGGGGGGAAATGCAGGAAACTAAAGACAAAGACGGAATCGTATCCTACGGCATCATAGGATCTGAATGACTTGGGGAGTTCATAGAATCATAGAACATCAGGGTTGGAAGGGACCTCAGGAGGTCATCTAGTCCAACCCCCTGCTCAAAGGAGGACCAATTCCAACTAAATCATCCCAGCCAGGGCTTTGTCAAGCCTGACCTTAAAAACCTCTAAGGAAGGAGATTCCACCACCTCCCTAGGTAACCCATTCCAGTGCTTCACCACCCTCCTAGTGAAAAAGTTTTTCCTAATATCCAACCTAAACCTCCCCCACTGCAACTTGAGACCATTACTCCTTGTTCTGTCATCTGCTACCACTGAGAACAGTCTAGATCCATCCTCTTTGGAACCCCTTTTCAGGTAGCTGAAAGCAGCTATCAAATCCCCCCTCATTCTTCTCTTCTGCAGACTAAGCAATCCCAGTTCCCTCAGCCTCTCCTCATAAGTCATGTGCTCCAGCCCCCTAATCATTTTTGTTGCCCTCCGCTGGACTCTCTCCAATTTTTCCACATCCTCCTTGTAGTGTGGGGCCTAAAACTGGACATAGTATTCTAGATGAGGCCTCACCAATGTCGAATAGAGGGGAATGATCACGTCCCTCGATCTGCTGTCAATGCCCCTACTTATACAGCCCAAAATGCCGTTAGCCTTCTTGGCAACAAGGGCACACTATTGACTCATATCCAGCTTCTCGTCCACTGTAACTCCTAGGTCCTTTTCTGCAGAACTGCTTCCTAGCCATTCGGTCCCTAGTCTGTAAGAGTGCATGGGATTCTTCCGTCCTAAGTGCAGGACTCTGCACTTGTCCCTGTTGAACCTCATCAGATTTCTTTTGGCCCAATCCTCTAATTTGTCTAGGTCCCTCTGTATCCTATCCCTACCCTCCAGCATATCTACCACTCCGCCTAGTTTAGTGTCATCTGCAAACTTGTCAAAATTATTTCAGACTATAGTCACCTCTTTATTCCGCTTATGTTCCTTTTGGGGGTGGGGGGAAGGGCCTGTTAATAAAGTCTAGATGAATTAACTAAGATACGAAGAAAGCATCAAGAAATTGTGACTTTAACTGATGATAATGTTTTGATTAACTTTTACTGTCAACGAGTGGTGAAAAAGAAAATAGGCAACTAAGTGGCATCAGTAGGTTGTTTCACCCACTTCACAGGGTCAGAATATACCATGATGCGTGCTAGGAAGAGTCCTCAAAACTCAGTCGGATTTTGATTTATCACTGGTTTTGCAATAGTGTAATTCCCAGGGAGTTCCTCTTGATTCTTGGCACAACTGAGGACAGAATCAGACACAATAGCTTTGGGAATTACCAGTCGCTCTTAGGTCTTGTCTTTCCTGCTTAAAAAAAAATTGGTGTGGGGGTTTGTGTGAAAAGGGGGTGTTCTGTTTTGTTTTTAACCTTGGGTTACTAGTGCACATGAGCTATCCTGAGGTGAAAACACACTGAAGACCAGGCACTTTAGTTTTACCATGAGGTAAATGAGGCAAAGTACACAATGCTATACTCCCTCCAGGGGTTACCTCCGTGAGATTACTTTATGGTAAAACTAAAGTTCCTGGTCTTCACAGTGTTTTTGCCTCAGGATAACTCTCACACATTAGTTATTCCGAGGTTTAAAAAAAAAAAAAACATCCTTTTGGGTTTTTTTTTTTTTTTTTTTAAAGCAGTGAAGATGAGGTCTTTTTTTGAAGACTTGTGACCCAAGAGTAAAAATTGATTACATCTTGTATTTTTGGTAGTCTTATTTACCTCTATCACAGGGGCATTGTGTGAGGCTTAATTCATAAAGGTTTTTCAAGGGATTGGATGGTTCTTTGGAGTTTCTTGGATGGAAGATGCTATAGAATTGCATCTACTTTACTATTTGTTTGGGTTTTTTTTTTTTTTTGGTTGTGATTGGGGGGAAAGGTGTATTTTGTTTTGTTGTGCAAATGCTTTGTAATTACTTAAGGCCATGGCTTAATTTTGAGAATAATCATTTTCTTCCCCCTTTTTAAAAAAAAAAGTTATGCTTTTTGAAAATTCTGCCTTTGTTTAAAAAAAAAAAAAAAAAATCCATGTGCTGAGAAGAGGAAACTAGCAAAAATATTCTTCATGAATAGATTTTCCTTAAATCAGCCATTGCATTTTACATTCCTTAGCAGAAGAGAGGATGGAAATAGGAGACAAGAGAAAGAAAGAGGGGATCACAGTATCTTCATTTTATTTTATTTCCTTGAAAGTATTCTCCTTTGAGTAGACAGTAATTGCAGTTTCTAATGACACAAACTTGAAGGGAAACAGAAGACGACTACAAACAGGTTTATGGGCCTATAAGCAGGAATATGTGGCTACAAATTGCTGAGTAAATGAAACAGCCTGTTGTTTCCTAAGCCTAAGTTTGTGAGTGTTATGTCAAAGCATTTGAGGCGGAGCTAGAGGACCAGGCGGTGTTAGGAATACCTGCTGGGTCCTAATTGGTGCCCACTGTTGTTAATGGCTTCCTGTGGCTGAGTGTTTACTTGTCATTTGTTTTGTGCTTTGTTTCCCAGCTACTGGAAAAAAAATACTGACCAAAACTTTATCTTTCTTTTAAGTGTATCCCTGGACATCAAGTGCCCTACTGCAAATTGTCTCACGATGCTAAGTACCTCAAGTCTATTCCACAGTCCAGTAATTACCTGGTATGCTGCAAGAGTTCTGTTTGCTCTTAATATCGCTTCTGAATTGTTTTAGCAAATGTTATAAATATTGTGGGGTTTTTTTTTAAGGATTTGGAGCAATTGTCTACTATAAACCTCCGTTTGGAAATATTAAATGAGTGCATAATATTGTCTCTTTTTAAAGAAAGCCGTTTGCCTAAAATTTCCACCATCACCCATAAATCTCAATTTATTATTGAGTTTAATGCTTCTGAAAGGTGCCAGGCTGAAAGCCTTGCACACTGAAAACCTCTGATTATCAACAGAGCAGGTAAAGATTGCAGCAATTTGGGCTTTCCCACACTGCGCACAAATATACCTTCACTCTTGATCAGCAGAAGACAAAATATTTCAAACCTCATTCCCATTCAGTCCTTGGCCTCCCAGTTGAGACCACCCATAAGAGTGCTGGATAGTGCCAGCTGTAACATGGACACTTATGCACTAGGAAAAGGATTGAAACTACTAATTTAAAATAGGCCACAGAACAGCTGTTGAAGAGTAACTGATTTTAGTCACTATTGACTTGGGTAGAATTAGAACTAGTGAAAAGCTCCCAATCTCATTCTCCGGAGTCATCTGCTCTTCCTACAATGATTTTTTTTTTCTTTTTTGAATTACAAATGGACCCTAAACAGCAACTCACAGACCCTTGAGAAAATGCATCTTATCTATGCCTCTCTTTAGGAACCGACCCTTAATCTGCATATCTAGAAGTTCTTTCTTAAATGCAGATTTTTCACTTTAGTAAATGTGTATATATATATTTTTATATGGGGAAACAGTGTATAGCCACAGGGGATTGGATCAATTTCTTCGTGATAAAATTAAGTTTGGAAGCCATCTATGCAGTGGTGATACCTTAGATTTCTTAACGTTTTGTTTATTTCTCTCAAGGTGTCAATGTTCTGTGATACAGAGCAAATTGATTCGAAGGGGGTTAGATTTCCATGTAATGTTATGCATTTTGTCCTTGTGATCCTTGATTTATTTGTGGCCAGTGCTTTCCCATGTGACAGCCAGGATGGATGACAAATTGGTTTAGTGTAGCTCTTTTGCTAACTAACTGACTGAGGAAAATAAAATGAAGCTACATGTGAAAATGCAAAGAGTATTTTCTGTTGAGATTGAATGATTGAAGAAGTGTTTTTTTTTTACCGACGAAAGCTTATGCCCAAATAAATCTGTTGGTCTTTAAGGTGCCACCAGACTCCTTGTTTTTGTGGATACAGACTAACACGGCTACCCCCTGATACTTGAAGAAATTGACGTCCTGTGATTTTAATTTTGGTCATTTTAATCATTTATTTTAGGCATATGCAAATTTCAGTTTTATGCCCTCTGCTTGGGGGGGAAAAGCAACTGAAGCCATCCATCCACACCTCTAGAGCTTAATACTGACATCTATTTTTAAACAGAAAGTGATTGTTTGAACTGGATTGAGAAGAGCTGAATTAGGGTGCGAACAATAGCATAGCTTGTGGGCTCCTGAGGAGGTTTTTTATAAGTCCCAGAGAGAGAAAATAAATTAAATTCCAGGATCCCCACTTAAGTCTATTTCAACTTCATTTCATACATTTGTCACTGGCATACTGCTTATAATGACATAAAATACAAATGTGCCTACACTTTACAGTTGAAGTATCTTCATGGCATCATCACATGCTAACTGTGCCGTTTGGAGAGAATCTTTATTGGACAATGAATCTTTAAATTGGTTTGATTTCCAGGAAGTTTCTCCAGTATTAAATGAACAGAATTTAGATTTAAAGTTCCAGGGTTTAACCCCATGTTCTACAGTGATGGGGTACCAGAGGGGAAAGAAGATCTAGAGAACCGCTTCCCCTGTACAAGTAGCCAGGCAGGATACCTGTATAGCGTATGCTTCTCTGATGTAATGTACTCTTACCTAAAGTGACGGCCCAGTCACCACAACCCCAGGGGGACATAGTCCATTTTATTTTTTCGGATTATGTCTAGACCTCATCACCATTAGCTAGCGCAGAGGTTTTCAACCATTTTTCATTTGCAGACCTCTTAAAAAATTTCAAATGGAGGTCGGACCCCTTTAGAAATCTTAGACATAGTCTGAGGACCCCACAGGTTGAAAACCACTGAGCTAGCACATATGCTATGATGGGGGGGGGGAGGGGAATGGAGGTGGGGGAGGAAGTGGGCTTTGGCCTTTCTTAGTGAAGCAGTAAGATCTGACCCACTGTAGTTTTATATCCCAGTGGGTCACTGAGAAATTCTGCCCACACTAGCAGCTTCTCCAATGTAAAGGGCACATCAGAAGGCTTCTCTGCTCATATGCACTGCATCAACCAGTACAGGAGTTGGCCCATTATTTGATAATTTTATATTTGGCTTTGTTGCACATAAGAATTCAGAATAGTAAGTTCTGTATTTTTTTCCTCTTTTTTTTTTTTTTTTTTTTAAGGTGATAGGATTGCAGAATGAGTTAACTAGACTTGGAATCTTAAAGAACCAGCAAGATTATGAAGACTTTTGGACACTGATCCTAGAGGGCACTCACAGTTCACGGCTTAAAGAAAAACTTCAGGATATAAAATTTAAAAGTTGGGTTTCTTACACACTTTGTCTCTTCTGAATACTTTTAAGAGCTTACTTTTTTTATTTTTTTAATCTGATTTTAAAATTTAATATCTGTAACAAGACCTCAAAACAAGAGACCCGATTCACAATTGGTGTAAACCAATATAGCTCCATTGAAGTCAATGGAACAATGCTGATTTATTCCAGCTGAGAATCTGGCTAAGTTGTGAAATTTTACCCCTTCAAATCAATACTATATATCACCTTTTTTCTCATGTTTGTAAAATAACAGAAATCTTGGATTTAGAAAGAAGAAAAGGAAAAAGAAATTAAATTTAAAATAGAGGCAAAAAATTCATAAAGAAACATGGTTTTAGTAATCGTAAGGAACAAGAAACACTAAAGCTAGTGTGTATAGATGCAAGTCTTAATGTTATTTTGTAAATGGAATCCCTAAACAGCCTAAGACGTATGAAAAAGCTGGTTTTAGGATTAACACTAATTTTAATATTGTATTGCACTCATAATCATTTGAGGGAGGAAAATGCGGAAATAATTACTCAACATAAGATTATTGCGATCATTAATATCATTTGTACAATTCTGTCCTTTAAAAAAATAATTGAAACCTGTTGCCAACTGTGACTTTTCCCACACCTGAAGAAGAGCTCAGTGTAGCTCGAAAGCTCGTCTCTCTCATTAACGGAAGTTGGTCCAATAAAAGATATTCACCAACCTTGTCTCTCTAATATCCTGGGACCAACACGGCTATAACAACACTGCAACCAAGTTGTGCTCATAGGTAGTCTATATAACCATGTGTTTCTCTCATTGTTACCCTTGCCCTTCCTCCTCCACTCCCTCCATTTGTTTTGCACCCATTTGTCACATCATGTCTTAATTCGGGCCTCGATCCTGCAAACATGCACATGGGTAAATTTACTCATGTCAGTAGTACCACTGAACTAAACGAGACTGCTCCCATGAATAAAGTTACACACATACCTGTTTGCAGGATTGGACCTCAGAGATAGAGAGAGATCATCAGCTGATGTAAATCAGTGTAGATGCATTGATTTCAAGGGAGCTTCATCAGTCTAAGGCCTTGTCTACACTCGGGAATTCACAGCACTGCCGCGGCATATGTTTGGTTTTTATTTTACATATTAAAACCTCTTGAAAGAAAGAGAAACTGATTAGAATTATAAGTGAATCTGAAGTCTAATTCCATTGCCCAAGGAGAGTGAAAAGAAGAAGTAAATATTGAAAAGTTATTTACTTGACCATTAACCCCCGACTGTATTTTTTACCATGGGCAATTGTCAGTTCATACATTTTTTTTTTATTTTTTTTTTTTTGCTATTCGTGGTTATAATACCATTTTTACACACACATGAACTGATATGGTTGTGTTTATATTTAATCATTTGTGTTTTATATATTTTCTAACAAAAGTATTAATCTGTCACTAATACGTGGCTATTTAAATTGGAGCAGGGTTTGCCTGGGCCACATGCCTCACTGCTACAGTTTGTTTGAGTGTTAGAGACTAAGACTATAGCACATCTTTCTTTAAAATAAGTAGAATATTTTTTAGTCTGAAAAGAATAAATGTCGTGGGTTTGCATGGTATTAATCCATAGGGAAGATGTTAGTTTGTCTCACAAAGGTAAGCGAAATGTTCTACATGGCTGGTCCCCGGTGAAACCCTCACTTGTAAATGGACAACCCAGTAGAACTGACCTTGCAGCATTGTTAGGACCCTCTAGTGGGGAGGGATGGGCAATACTATGCAGCCACAAACCAGGGGATCAATGATAATACAGCCACTGAACTAACCATGCTGCCATTTTTAAGGTGTCCCCAAGAGAACATGCAGCAGGCCATGTGCTGCATGAGGTTGGAGCCAGGATTTCCCGTGGAATTTTGGGTGGTGCATGCTTGTAAACCTTGTAAACCAGAGTAATAGTAATAGGATGAAATTTAATAGTGAAAAGTGCAAGGTCATGCATTTAGGGATTAATAACAAGAATTTTTGTTATAAGATGGGAATGCATCAGTTGGAAGTAACAGAGGAGGAGAAGGACCTCGGAGTATTGGTTGATCACAGGATGACTATGAGCCGCCAATGTGATATGGCTGTGAAAAAAGCTAGTGCGGTCTTGGGATGCATCAGGCGAGGTATTTCCAGTAGAGATAAGGAGGTGTTAGTACCGTTATACAAGGCACTGGTGAGACCTCATCTGGAATACTGTGTGCAGTTCTGGTCTCCCATGTTTAAGAAGGATGAATTCAATCTGGAACAGGTACAGAGAAGGGCTACTAGGATAATCCAAGGAATGGAAAACCTGTCTTGTGAAAGGAGATTCAAAGAGCGTGGGTTGTTTAGCCTAACCAAAAGAAGGCTGAGGGGAGATATGATTGCTCTCTATAAATCTATCAGAGGGATAAATACCAGGGAGGGAGAGGAATTATTTAAGCTTAGTACCAATGTGGACACAAGAACAAATGGATATAAACTGGCCATCAGGAAGTTTAGACTTGAAATTAGACAAAGGTTTCTAACCATCAGAGGAGTGAAGTTCTGGAACAGCCTTCCAAGGGGAGCAGTGGGGGCAAAAGACATATCTGGCTTCAAGACTAAGCTTGATAAGTTTATGGAAGGGATGGTATGATGGGATAGCCTAATTTTGGAAATTAATTGATCTTTGGGCATATTTACCGCTAATAGTCAATGGCCTGTGATGGGATGTTAGATGGGGTGGGATCTGAGTTACTACAGAGAATTCTTTCCTGGATGTCTGGCTGGTGAGTCTTGCCCACATGCTCAGGGTTTATCTGATTGCCATATATGGGGTCAGGAAGGAATTTTTCTCCAGGGCAGATTGGCAGAGGCCCTGGGGGTTTTTCGCCTTCCTCTACAGCAGGGGGCATGGGTCACTTGCTGGAGGATTCTCTGCACCTTGAAGTCTTTGAACGATTTGAGGACTTCAATAGCTCAGACACAGGAGCGGGTGGGTGAGATTCTGTGGCCTGTGTTGTGCAGGAGGTCAGACTAGATGATCATAATGGTCCCTTCTGACCTTAAAGTCTGATTCTATGATTCCAAGGTCAAACCCCAGCCCTTGCCTAGTCCATGTGGCTACTGGTTTCTCTTTTCTTCCACTCTCCTTTCACAGAGGACACCCAGCTTGGTTTTCAGTGTGTCAAAATAGCAATTTTGCTATTTTATGGGGGTTTTGTTCCCTTTGGTGAGTTTTTCCATAGAAGGGGGTGATTTGACCCTTTACTCTGGGAAGATTGGGAGAAAATGTTTGCCATAAACATGCTTTGATGCTAGAATTGGAGTTGCAAGTTCTTGAAGTCAAAGTGGAAAGAGTGAATCCTCAAGACTCGAGCAAATAGGAAGATACATTATATTGAGTCAATACAATAAAAAAAATCACATTTTAGTTGAGAGGCAACATTATTTATAACACAGGGAGAAATTGTTATTACTGTTCACCCTGTTGACCAGAGTGGCTAGTCAAAAATTCGAGGTCTAGGAGGCTGTTTCAGTTAGGGGGAGAAATTGGTGATATTTGGGTATTTCTTTGATGCAGTTTTGTTTATCTACAAAGAATGTACAAATTTCTGTGTCTCTGAATGACTCAAATAGCAGGAAACAGTTTCTTTTACTCATAGCTCTAAGAACCCACTCATTTCAGCCTGCACACTTGACCCAAAAACCTCTCCCTGTGTTTTTTTTCCAAGGACAACCACCAGGCTTTCAGCTGTTCGCTCGCTCCCTCTCTCTGTCATTCCCAGTTTTTGTTTTTGTCTGTTCTGGCTTTCCACACAGATATATACCACTACCCAAAAGAATACTCATCAAAAGCTCCCTGATACTCTTTTTGTCTTAGGTGGGGGCTTTTCCTTATAGTCATGTTAATTGAAGCGTGAGTTTACACCTATCTATTTCAATGAGGTTTTAACTCAACCCAGAACAAGGTTTCACTCAGCTCATAACATTGTTACTGAGATTTTGATGTTACTTTACAGTGGTTGCAGCTAAGTCTTTTCCTTCACATCCTGTTGTGAGAACCGGTGCAGCACAGTCAGCAAATGTCCTTCTGAGCAACCGATGTGGGCAGCTGAAAACGGTAAGTAACAGTTTCGTATTTAAGAAACTTGTGCTTTCAAATAATGCTACTTTAATGACCTAGTTCTTGCTCTGTCTAGGACTGATGCTCCCCTGTGTCCAAAGTCCATTGGGTGTAAGAGTGGCAGGGGGAGCTGCTGGGAGGCAACCATAACTGATTCCACGATTCCGTGGCCCAGTCTGCACCAGCAATGGTCCAGGTGGGAGTTGCTCTAGGAGGCTGCTCAAGTTAGGCCACTGGCATATGTTTCCTTAGGAGCTTTCTTCTCTGCCCCTTCTCAGCTCCTTCTGCAGTATGCACCCTGCGCCGGGGTTGGGGGGGGGAATAGGGCTGGCTGAAACATTGGCTTCACTGGCTTTACATCCGTTGAGGGCCCCCCTCCCAGGAAGATACCGACTAGCACAAAGGGGGCAGACTGTATTTGAGAATCTGTCCCACTCTCTGTCCTTCCAGTTTCTTATATTTGTGCCCATCGCCATAGTGTCAGTCCTGGAGCACTTCCCAAAAGCAAAGAATAAGAAGGAATAGATCTCACTCTTCCTTCCCTGCCAGCAGAAGACTGGCTTGGGATTGTCGTTTCATTTTATGGTTGTTTGAGAGTGAAGTTACTATTGTCTCACTGACTGTGCCTGTAAAATGGGAATGACAACATATCTTATAGGGTGTTGGAAGGATTAATTAACAATGCTTACTTAAAGTTCTGAAAGTTGCTTTTAAACAACAACAACAAAAAGCGCTGTGTAAAAATGAGGTGACCCTACAGCTCGGAGGATCACCTACCTGTCTATATCCTATGTCTTCTGCCTTTCACGCACAGTGTCTATGGAGAATGGAACAGATGGGGGAGTCTGAGGGTCTATACATGGAGGAGGAGGGCAGGTGCTTGGAAGAAGCATTTTCTGAGGGGAGAAGCTGATTTAAAAAAAAAAAAAAGATGGTCAACAGAATTTTCCCTAGGATGTCAGTACAACATTTTCCCTTCCCACCCGCTATTGCGCAGTGTATCCTGTATGCCAGTTGGCTGCAGCCCCAGAGGACACTGCGTTTTGCTTATGACGTATGTGTCTAATTCTTTAATATTAGTCATAATGATATCTTCAGCACAAATGAAAGCTTTCTGATGGTCTTGTGTTGCAGTGACTGTTTTTAAGGGTGAGTGAGTGATGCACACCCAACGTCACTGAGAAAGCTCACTCATGCTCCTTGATCCTGTTATACTTTTTTCGCAAATTGATCCAACACTTCCCAGAATGCTGCTTCGGTGGAAAAACCTTTTCTGGTGATGTGGCAACCAAAACTGCATGGAAGGAAAGGGTGGGAGGGGATGATGGAAGGCAAAGATGTTTCCTAGTTTACCTCAGACCCCTTCTTCCCCCTCCCACTTGCTTCCCCCTTTGTGTACAGTTCACCAGCTGTGCCCTGTGAGATGAGCTGGGGTGGGCTGGGTCCTTCACACCTCTGTGCAATGAACACATCACTCTTCCAATCTGCTAGACATAGCAGTATTTCTTGGGCCAGTCTGTCAGGTTGTTGAACGTAACTGAAGGTTTAATTTGCAGTTTGCATTCTTTTCCAGGGTACTACATGCTCTGGAGAGAAGTCAAAAACAGTCTTATGATTATGGATTTAGTGGTTACATCTGTCTGTTTTTTAATTTAATGAAGTCAGTTCTGTCCAAAAGACATTTCATATACTGGACACCTTAAGCTTGTTTACACTGTGTGTAGTAATAGAGTAATTTTTTTTGTCAATCTCCATATTTTCATGCCAAATTAAATGTTGCCGTCTAGGGCAGGTCTTCAGACAATTTAGATGTTCGGTTGTCTGCACATGCCATTACTTAAATTGCACACAACTGTGCACAATTGATCCTTTGTTAATGGAGTTACCTCATTTGTGCATATGACTTAATTGCATGTATGAACTAGGGGCACAGTTGCATATGGATTTTTCTGCCTAACATATCTGATAATTTTACCAAACTATATAATCTAACCTAACAACTTCCAGCACAAGAATAGTTGTATATTTTTGGTTGGGGAATTATAGAATATCAAAGTCAAGGTTGTTCCTACTTATTTTTATATTTAGTTTGAAAGTTCTAGTTATAAGAACACAATGTGTTTACATGGTGCTTTTAATCTTCACACCACTTTACAGTCATGAATGAATCTTGACAATATTCTGGGGAAAGAGGTGTATTCGTAGTTTTACAGATAGAGAAAGTTAAATAACAGAGTCCTAGAGGGAATTACTGTCAGAGCTGAGATTAGAACTTGGGAGTTCCTGGCACCCACTCCTGTACTCAAACTTCCAGACCACAAGCAGCTACTGTGCAAGCTTTTCTGCAGCATTCCTCTGAGGCCCCTCAGTCCTGACCTGCAATACCGCTGCTATTCCAGTCTGGAGCCTCTCATGAGTAGGGCTCACCAATTATGCCAAACTGAGTAGAGGTGTTTTACTGTAAGTCTAGATGCCTACCAGGGGCTAGCCCAGTGGTTTACATTGACCGTCTGCAGGCACGGCCGCCCGCAGCTCCCCAGTGGCCGGGAATGGTGAACCGAGGCCACTGGGAGCTGCGGGCAGCCGTGCCTACCGACGGTCAATGTAAACAAACTGTCTCGCGGCCCGCCAGCGGATTACCTTGACGGGCCACATGTTGCCTACCACTGGGCTAGACTGTAGTCATCAGATTCATTTTCATTTATATGCTAGGCCCCAGTCCTGCAATGAGCTCCTGATAGGATACAAAATTTGAACCCTCTAGAATCAGTCCAGTTGTAATGAATCCCTGTGCTGAAGACCGAGTTACTAAATACATACACATCTGGGGAGCTCAGGCTAGAGCCTCGTCCTTCCACTTCAGAAACTAGGAGTGCCGATATCCTGTCCTTGGGCCAGCCACTAAAAGGCAGCAACACACACACACCCAGTCAGTACTGAGAGTACTTTTTTTGTCCCACACAGATTCCTTGGTCCAGCACCGATGAGCAGTGAGTGATATGGGTATGACCAGACTAGTGAATGACAGGGTGGCCAATTGCTAGCAAGAAATCAGGCACACCTGGAGTAGCATGTTATCCTATAAACAAAAGACGGGGGGGAAAACAAGGAATCCCTCTGAAGAGTTTACTTAAGCACTTGTGGCTGTAATCTCTGGTCTGCTAAGGCCACTTTGCAACAAAAATGTCAAGATTTTTATTTTTTTTCTCTTCATCTCCCCCTTCTTCCCCCCCCGCCACACCTTTCTTTCCACTTTTTCCTCTCCTCACCCATTTTTCTGCTTCTAGTTGCAAGAAGGAAAAGGGGGGAAATGAATGTTCTCACAAAAACTTTGGTATAGTTAAAAATCCACTTCTTTCATCGAAAAAATGTTTTGAAGATATTTTAGTTAACTCTAGTTAACATGTTGGGTTTTTTAAATTCATTTTACCTTAAAAATCTTTTTTCTGTGAAAACTGTGGCATGAAGCAGAGGCATTTGATACTGTTACATTTGATTATAGCTTTTATTCTCTCTATTCAGAGTTGTTATATTGTCAAAGTGAGGTCAGATTTTGATACCTGTAGTTATCAGAATATCTTCTTTTCCTTATCTTTGCATTTCTAATGCACTCATCATGGTATCTAGATACGAGTTACAAAATTAACAATTGCAGTAGTTATGTCCATAAAGTGTCCACCACTCTCTAATTCAGCCATTGTTAGTTAATACTTTGCATCTTTGTCCTCATTGTTTCTGAGAGGACAAAATGTTGGTTTTTACGTTTGTGCCCTAAAACTGGTCAGGTTTGAGCTTGTCATCCTCTCTAATGGTAAAGAGTTGCACTGCCCCTTGCTTGCGAAAGTTCAGCATGGGATCTTTCAGCTTTTGTTGTCATAAAGTAGAGCTGTCTCATTGTGTCAGGAATGGAGATCATGGGCTGGGTCTTACGTAAGGGTCTAAGGCAACTGTAGGGCCAGGACCTTGAAGTGGATCTGAAATGTAATGGGGAAGTTATTGGAGCACAGTGTGATGTGCTATTTTTTTATTAAAAGGTGGGTTCCTCTGTGTTGCCCCAGTGGAGGTTTTCCACGTGACCCTCGATAATTAGCCCAGGGTAGGATGTGCTGCATCGAACCTGGAAGTGACAAAAGCCTGGATCAGTAGCTGGGTCTTTGAGAGGAATGAGCACACACTTCTGATTAGCTGAATTTGAAAGAAGGCATTTCTCTTCATTCTTGCTATCTGAGTATCCAGGAGCAATGTTGAGTCCAAGAGAACCTCAGGACTTCAGCGTTACCTTGGTGACTGGAAAGTGGAGGATGAGGACAGTGTCCCACCCAGCTCCTCAGAGGTCTCCTCTCTTTGTGTATCATCTCTTATCTGGATTGAGTCAGTCAGCTGTTTTTAATTCATATACATTTCTCTGACATGGTCACTTCTAGGTGAGAGTGTTGGCTGCGTCTGCTAAGAAAGAGAGGTTGAGCTGGGTATGTTTAGTGTACTAGTAGCATTGCAGCCAAAGGCTTTTCACAACCTCGCCTAGAGTCGTTCTCTATATATGGTTAATAATACATAAAGAAATGGAATAATGACATTTTGATTCAGGTTGGAGGGGAAAGTTTCCTGTACAGTTATTCTTGCATATATGTGTTAAGCTATAAAATCTTTAAACCCTCAAGAGCCTCAGCCTGCTATCAGTTTGCAGTCAGGGGCTTCCCTGGGACTCCTACATACATGTGGAACAGTGAATCAGGCCCTTATATTGCAGTATGTAGTCAGGTTTTCTTAAACAGGGTCACCTGACCAAAGTCAGTTTATGCCATTGCCAAGAATCTAATTTGTAGGCAATGTTCATGTTTCCCTCTTGCTCTGCTCCACTACTGGATGTTGTCTACTATAATCTGCACTTGCCAATTTTATCGCCAGCACTTTATTCATAGAAGGTGAAATTCACTCCTGTGCAGAGGACTAGCACAAGATCTAGGCACCAGTTAAGATTTTAAAAGAAGGCTTAG